AAGAAGAGCTCCTCACATGTGAAAAGGCATAAAAACATTCTACCAAGGTCACCACCAGGTTATAATTTGAATATGTGCCTTAAATGCACTGTTACCTTATTTTCTTTGTCCAAAACATACATTCTCAGAACATTTAGCAAGCAGGCATACTACATGCTTTGACATAGCAACTAATACATGTTATGGGTAAAATCATGTATCTTCTGAAGTCATGGAATTTACACTTGGTTAAACTTGCACTAAGATTTCATTTCCAAGCCTTTGTAAAAATGGGTAAGTGAAAAGAGAGCCCACCTCACAGATTACCAGCACTTTTAACCTTCAGGAACTGCACAAATCTGTTATCAGCTAAAAGAAAAACACAAAAATATCCCAGATGATCCAAAGTATTACAACTGTCATCAAAGCATTAGAACTTCAAGATGCAGAGTCCCAAACAGATGCCTTCACATTCTAAATTACTGACTTGAACAGAAGTAATTTCATTTGGATACAAATGGCTTTGAACATTATCTCTAGCCTTTGAGTCCAAAATTATGACACTTAAAGCTGGCATCAATTTTGGCTGATGACAAAGCAGTTCTACAGATTTGTCATTCTTGACTTCACCTTCCTGGCACTTCCCTTGGGCCACCAGAGACATGAGTTGGATGCAAGATTCTGTCACAGTTCACCTCTGAATTTCACAGCTGTTGAGCTTCCAAACCTCCCACAGATTTCAACTGTCAGAGGAGATGCTGAAAGCTTTAAAAGAAATCTCAGTACTCAGAGTCTCTATTCCCCCTCTTCATATAGGCTGGACAAAGATAAAATCATTAATGTTTGGATAAGGGTAAATTTACTAACAGATGTGCTGCTGCAGATGCTGTCAAACACTGATGAAACCCATGGGATTGACTGAGGTAAACTTGAAGGAGAATCACCCAGCTAGTTTTGGTAGGTAAACTACTAGTTAAACACTGTGAGTTAAACCAGCGAAACTACAAACTGGTTTGTTGCCAACATCGTGTTCAAATATGTTTCAGTACTGTGGAGCTGGAAGCCTTCTGTTAGAGGAAGCTGATGTCTTACTTCAGTCAACTAAACTGCTGTGGAGACTCTGAATTTGTTTTGCCTGTTTCACCTTTTCATTCATATGCTCCCTTCAACTTCTGTGCCCTCCTCATCATCAACTGAACACTTTGCCTGTTTACTTCCACATGAGGCCTTCGTAGCAGCAATTGATCCATCAGTTCTATTTACACTCGTCCGGGTACCAGATATGTTTGTGCAGCATCAGAAAAAAGGAAGCTTTGGGAACGCTGCAACCTGTGATGTTAACACTGCTCCTTGACAAACAAGATGTTGGTGCCTGGTTTCAAACGCCACTGCATAAAAGGCTTCTTCCTCTCCTAGGGTTGCCATAACAACAAGCAGAGCACTGTCATTTTGCTAAGTAATGACAATGACAAATATGTAAGAAATGCAAAGGTCTGGGAAACTGGGAGCTAGATTAGAGCTTCTCTTCCTGCCTTCACAAAACATTTTACTGTGGATTCATCTTACAAACCCTAAGCTGTTCCTATGGGAACATGAGAAATAGCTAGTGTTAGTGGTCTGTGCTGCCTCATTTTCAGAGAGCCAGTGTTGTTCTTGTGGATGCTTTATCAAGACGTTGCAAAGTATTAGTTATCCAGAGTACAGGATATGATCTTGAGCTCACAAATGCCTGCAAAAATCTGGAATTAGTCCTAATTTTACAGTGTAATAAGTGATAATGCTGTCAGACCTTTTTGTCTTTGGTAGGCAAGAAGTGGTTGCAGCAAAGATGACATTTTATTGAATGAATAAAATCACGGACAGGTGACTCAAGCAGTCAGGAAACTATTATCTGAATAGCAGTTATCTGAATAATTCTTCTGTTAACCATGAGAATGGAAAGCATTTTCTTCTTAATTCAATCAGGAATAACA